AACCATCCTCTGCACTGTAGTCGTGCCTCTGCTGCTCACCCATCCCTGGCTTCTCTTGATATCTGCTTAGGGGAAGCAAAGTGCTGCCCCAAAACATGGTAGGTGGCTCAGGAGAGAGAATAAGGAAGCCATAGCACTGGGCCTAGGTAGCCAGGTTTTAGAACAGTGGTGAGAATATGACAGTAAGGAGTGCAGAGAGCAGTAAGACTGTGGTGTCTGTCCACAGAAGCTGTTATTTGGGTGTGTCTTCTGGAAGTTCTGAACCCAGGGTCAGTGTGTCTGCCAGAGGATGAGGCGGTACTAGAGAGAGAGGAGCCTGTAAAACAGTGGACCAGGCCTGTGGAGAGAGTGGTAGGAATCGTTGCCAGTTGCCATGGGGTCATTTCAGAACTCCTCTGGGGGTTAGCTAGGGGTGAAATGAACTGTGCAGGTTGATGTTCCAGCTAGACAGTTACAGGGCTTTTAGATGCAGTTCTTGAAATCTTAGTGATCAGTTTTATTTTAGTATCGTTATCTTGAATCTTTTTATAAATTTGAGAATATTCAGATGAGGGTTCTAGATCATTAGAGTTGACTTATTCTAATTTTAGTAGAGACATTATTCAGTTTGCCTTCTATGTCCAAATTTTCTTCTCTTTTGGCCTCTTACTCATTACTGGAAAGGGGTAGCTGCCCTCTGGCTACAGCTGATTATTCCCAAACTGGCCATTTAGATTTCCTTTCTTAGAACAAGTAGGGGAGGTGCTGTGAAGACTGGAACTTTGAGCTGGTTTCCAAGCACAGTTCTGCATTATGATCACCTGCATAGCCTTGTAAGCACAGCTGAATTACTAAGTCTGAAGAAGAACCCAGGCATGCGTATTTTTTTTTTTTTTTTTGGAGACGGAGTTTCGCTCTTGTTACCCAGGCTGGAGTGCAATGGCGCGATCTCGGCTCACTGCAACCTCCGCCTCCTGGGTTCAAGCAATTCTCCTGCCTCAGCCTCCTGAGTAGCTGGGACTACAGGCACGCGCCACCATGCCCAGCTAATTTTTTGTAGTTTTAGTAGAGACGAGGTTTCACCATGTTGACCAGGATGGTCTCGATCTCTTGACCTCGTGATCCACCCGCCTCGGCCTCCCAAAGTGCTGGGATTACAGGCTTGAGCCACCGCGCCCGGCCTGTGTATTTTTAATAAGTTCTCTAGACGGATGTGGATGATCATCCAAGTCTGAGGACCAGTGGACTAGGACACCAACTCAGAACACCATCCTGTTCACTTCTGATAGTTCCCTGCTGCACACCCAGGTGAGTAGGGTGGAGGGGAGACTGGACCTCCAGGGATCTGGACATTAAGACTATGACCCTTCCTCCTATTTTTCTGCTCTGTGACCAGTTTAACCTTTCTCTGGGGTCCCCTCCAAAAGTAAGATTGTGACCTCCTATTATATGTATCTTAATTCAATAAATATTAAATTCTTTCTTTGTACCAGACATTTTGCTAAATGCTATGCAGCTTGCCACTGAATTGTTCTCTTAGGAAAACAACATAGAATAGTGAACAAAGCGCAGGCTTTGGAGTTAGTTTTAGGTGTAAATCCGATTCTTGCTACTCGTAGCTGGGTGCCCTGCTCATGTTATTTCTCTTCACTAAGCCTGTTTCTTCCTCTCAAATACAGGAACAGTACCTATCCCTCTCAGCTATTATGAAGGTTAAATTAAATAATTATTAGGTTTCTACCTCTCCATTCTATGGCTTGGCCATTTTGGTTAGGCTTCAAGGGACATAAGAGCATAGACCATATCTTACGGTTTCATGAATCCTCTATGTTGTCTAAATTGCTACCTCTTTATTCTGATACACCAAGTTGGAATATGATTTATAAATGTAAAAGGCAGTAGAGTGTATTGTTGGAGAATCACTGAACTTGACAAGGAAGTCTATTCAGAAGGTATATAACTAGTCTGGGCATGGTGGCTCATACCTGTAATCCTAGTACTTTGGGAGGCTGAGGCAGGAGGATCACTTGAGCCCATGAATTTAAGACCAGCCTGGGCAATGTGGCAAAACCCTGTCTCTATAAAAAAGTACAAAAGTTAGCCAGTCATGATGGTGTGCACCTGTAGTCCCAGCTACTGGAGAGGCTGATGTGGGAGGATGGCTTGAGTCCAGGAGGCTGAGGCTACAGTGAGCTGTGATCATACCACTGTGTGCCAGCCTGGGTGACAGAGCAAGACCCTGTCTCAATCAATCAATCGATATTTTTAAAAAAGATATATAAGTAAATAGCATTCAGAAAACCTCAGTTTTAAGCTTTTTTCTTCTTTCACCATGACTACATTGGGTACTTCACCTTTTTGAACTTCAGGTTCCTGAGTGAGCTAGACCATCTGTTCCCTTTTTTCTTGTTTTGGGTATTTTATGATTGTTATGACACATAAAGACATTTTTTTTAAATGAACACTGTGCTATTTTAAAATAATAACTAAATGGCTTCAATAATATGAGAAGACCTATTAAAAAAATCTCTTCAGCTTAATAGACTGTGGTTCTTTTCCTGGCTTCCTTCATGTGCCTTGGTCTTCTACAAAGTTGTGATCAATGTATGCATTCAATTTGAAGTTCTTTCATTTCCATCTTTTAATGTTACTATACGGTTTTCTACTATATTAACATGGGGACTTTTGAATTCATATTGTAGATATGAATTAAAAAATTTTTTTTTATTCCTAAAAGAGCTGAACGGTTAGGTTTTCTGTTTTTCAATCTGTGGAACCTGACTAACATTTAAAAAATAATGAAATGAATGGAACTTAAAATAGCAGAATGGTTTCAGGAAACATCTATTTCAGTTTATATTTTTATATGAAGATGTATGTTTACTGGATCACGATGTTCACTGGATCACTTACTGAAAGTTGTGGCTAAAAGAATTTAAAAGACACTGAATTAAGTAATAATGACAGTCCCATCACATTTTGAGTTTTCATGTCATATTCTAGAAAAGACTGTTTAATTCCCAGGTATGTCCTGAGAGTACCTTCCTTTGGAAGTACATAGTAGGTTTTTTAGTCGTAAAATGCTTTGGTTCACAAAACTAAGACCTTACATGAAATATAACTATGTATCTCCTCTGTCCAGAATGAATGTACAGGAAACAAATTGTTATTATACTAATAACTAAATAAATCCACTTAAATATGGATAAGCCATAGTATACCAAATGAAACACAGTGGGGGCAGAAATCGTATACATAAAGGGTATACTGTGTTCTTTGGTTAACGTGCTTGCCTACACTTTTCTTTTGGCCTTCTATTAGCCAGCTTCTATCTGAAGGAAGCTAAAAAAAGACAGACTGTGTGCATACATTACAAGCCATTTTTTAATAATCAGCTCTCTTAAATTCATTTTATATGATTCTTATACTCTGAAAAATTTGGGGCCAGGTGTGGGAGCCATCACATGGCACTTTGGGAGGCTGAGGCAAGATTGCTTGAGGCTAAGAGTTCGAGACCAGCCTGGCAACATAGTGAGACCTTGTCTCTACTAAAAATTTAGAAAGTAGCTACGTGTGGTGGTGTGCACCTGTAGTCCCAGCTACTTGGGAGGCTGAGGTGAGGAGAATTACATGAGCACAGAAGTTCTAGGTTGCAGTGAGCTATGATTGTACAACTGCATTCCAGCCTCAACAAAGAGACCCTGTCTCAAAAAAATAAAAATTTTGCCTAGTCTTGAAGTTCAGAGCAACATTCACTTTATCACTTGTGCCTATGTCTTCCTCATTAGTAATCTTCTCATTGAGCTATTTTTCTCCTTTGGTTATTTTTTAAAACTCACATAGCTGCTTCCAATTAACTGTAGAAGGACTTTCTTAGTGAGTGACCCAGCATGATTTAGCAGTCTCTTTGGGGAGCTGATTTTATGGAGCAGCCAATGCATTTGTTTTTTTGAAAATTTTTTATTTCAATAGGTTTTTGGGCAACAGGTGGTGTTTGGTTACATGGTTAAGTTTTTTAGTGGCGATTTCTGAGATTTTGGTGCACCCATCAACCAAGCAGGGTACACTATACCCAATGTGTAGTTCTTTTATCCCTCACCCCACTCCCACCCTTTCCCCTGAATCCCCAAAGTCCGCTGTATCATTCCTATGCCTTTGCATCCTCATAGCTTAGCTCCCTGCCAATGTATTTTCAGTCATTAACCTGTCTCATAGGCTAAACAAGATTCAGAGTTCTTTTAGTTTACTCTTTCAGTCCAACTCAGTTATGATAAACATATAGATCTGTTAGGATAGGATAAGAAATTGCAGAGCTTCAGGTTTAAAATGAGATTCCTAGGACTGAAGGAAATGTCTGTGATTTGGAAGAAGGAATGATTTTAAATTTATTTCCATCCATTTGCAGAATGAATTTTGTTTAAGCAATAGTTAGGGTTGGGAAAGTCCTGTTATTAATTGAGGAGGGGAGGAAGTCCACAGCCTGTGGATCAGATAAAGACATTCTGAGCTAAATGAACACCATGTTGTTTGTTTTCACTCACTCACTATAAAATACGCTGTGGATTTTTGGCAGTGCCTAACCTGTGTACCAAATGTTGCTTTATGGGAAATTCCTATTAAATTCAATCATTAAAAGCACATAAGAACTTGGTTATCATAAGAGAATTCTTCCTGATATATCCCTGGTGGCAGGACCCAGCTTGAGAGTGGAAATTGCTCTAGTTTCCAATCACTGGTGGTATATTCTTTGGGGGAGGCCTTACAGGAGGGAGATACAGGGTAGTGACAGCTAGTGCTGGTTTCTCTGGTGACCAGGAGACTAGAAACAAGTGGTTATAATGGCTTGTCCCAATATCCACATTGCTTTGAGTCTTTAAGCTACACTCTTGCATCTAGTGACACAGTGCCTATATGTACCTGAGTTTCTCAGTGGTATCGGAGGACAGGCTATGAAAGTGTGTTTGAAAATGTTTCATTGATATCTTACTAAATGATATACTTTCTTTTGTACTGCCTTTCAGAATTAAAGCTATAGAGAGTCCCAACAAAGAAGATGATACCCAGTGGTTGACCTACTGGGTAGTGTATGGTGTGTTCAGCATTGCTGAATTCTTCTCAGATCTCTTCCTGTCATGGTTCCCCTTCTACTACATGCTGAAGGTATGTTGGTTTTCCTTACCACTAAAACTCCGTCTCAGGACCTGTAAAGAAGAAGTAGGAATAAATGCTTGAATGTTGTACATCTGTGACTCTGTCTCAGATTATGAAGAAGACAGGCCTGGGCAACAGAGCAAGACCCTGTCTCAAAAAAAAAAAAAAAAATCTCTTCAGTTGGACTTTACAGTATACTTATTCTTGAAGGTTTTTATTTCCCCTGGAATTAATCATTGTTATTTGTAGCATCCTTATTATTTCAGTTTGTCCTACTTATTCTACATTTCTGTGTACTTTCTTTTTAAATGTTTATTTACTTTTTAAAAAATGTACATTTTTATAGAGAGGAGGGCTAGCTTTGTTGTCCAGGCTGGACTTGAACTCCTGGGCTCAGGCAAGCCACTTGCCTCGGCCTCCAAGTAGCTGGGACTAAATAGGCACACACCACTGCAGCTGGCTACTCTTTTAAACATTTTTATCTAAAGAAATATAGGAAATTAAATATAGGAAGCTCCATCACCCCAACCACCATCACAAATGGTAGAATCTTGGGTTTTAGTTCTGGCTAATTACGGATATATATTTCTTTTCTTTGGTGTTAGCCTTTTTTTTTTTTTTTAATCTTTTTTATTTGCACTTCTTCCTGAGAGATTTCTCAATCTAACCTCTTTTTTTTTTTTTTTTTTTTTTTGAGATGGGAGTCTTGTTCTTTTGCCCAAGCTGGAGTGCAGCGACACCATCTCTGCTCATTGTAACCTCTGCCTCCCAAGTTCAAGTGACTGTCCTGTCTCAGCCTCTCGAATAGCTGTGATTATGGGCATATGCCACCATGCCTGGCCAATTTTTGTATTTTTTTAGTAGAGATGGAGTTTCACCATATTGGCCAGGCTGCTCTCAAACTGACCTTAAGCAATTTATCCACCTCGGCCTCCCAAAGTGCTAGGATTACAGGCATGAGCCACCGTGCCCCGCCTCAATCTGACCTTCTAATTTTCAACTGTATTCCTTGATTATATTATATCCATTCTGCTATTACTGCCATATATTGTATTCTTCATTTCAACTATCATATTGTTCATACCTAATGTTTTTGCTTGACTCTGTTCTGTTTTCTTGTTCTTGTTTCATAGTGCTAATATTTTCTCATTTCTTTTAGTATGGTTACTGCTTCCTAGTTTAAAATTGTTGGTCAGCACTTCTAATATTCTTGCTCCTGACAAAAATCTGTAGCTGACTGTGTTGTTTTTCTTTTAAAATGTACTCTTGGCTGAGCGTGGTGGCTCACGCCTGCAATCCTAGTGCTTTGGGAGGCTGAGGCAGGCAAACTGCCTGAGCTCAGGAATTCGATACCAGCCTGAGCAACACAGTGAAACCCTGTCTCTACTAAAATACAAAAAAATTGGCCAGACATGGCAGCGTGCCCCTGTAGTCCCAGCTACTCAGGAGGCTGAGGCAGGAGAACTGCTTGGAACCTGGGAGGCAGAGGTTGCAGGGAGGCAGAGGTTGCAGTGAGCCGAGTTTGCACCACTGCACCCCAGCCTGGGCGAAAGGGGGAGACTCCATTTCTTAAAAAAAAAAAAAGAAAAGAAAAGAAAAGAAAAAGGAAAGAAAAAATGTACTCTTAAAATATATTGTTATTTTTTTCTACAAACTCCTTTTCATCCATGAGTATCAGCTATCCTATCAGGCACTGAAATGGAGAGGGCCCCAGTCCATGCTAGTACTAGTAAGTTCTGGGTAGGGGGTGGATGAGACCGAGGAGTGCGGGGCCCCAGGCACAGAGGAACCATAGTTAACCAGTCTTCACCTACAAAACAGCTCCTCAGGTCAAAGTTTCACCGTACCGACCCCCTCCACCCCAGAAAAGCAGCATCAAAAGGAAGTAATTCTGGGTTATAGTTCACAGCTCCAGCGGTTGAAGCAGGAGGAGTAGGGAAGTGACTGCCCTTAATTAGTGTCCATCTATTTTCCTCAGTGACTTGCAAAGACAGGACTTTTATGCCAAAACCTCTGTTTTAGAAAAAAGTAGAGGACAGTATTTTTTAAATTTGAGGTATAGAAGCAAGAAAAAAAAAAAAGTCACAAAGAAAAAGACTTGATATTGATAAATTCAACTAAATAAAATGTCTAAAAATTAAATTTCTATATGACAGTAGGCAGTATAAACAAAGTTAAAATAATGACAGACTGCGAAGACAGATTTACAATATTTACACCAAATAAGGAACATCCAGAATACATAACAATTTCTATAAGTAAAAAGAAAAATGGGAAAAGGTTCTAAATATGTATTTCCCAGAAGAGAAAAAAAATGAATGGCTAGTAAACAGCTCACCAGTGATCTGGGAAATGTGAGTTAAAGTAGTGAAATCCCATATTTTGTTCATTAAACTGGCAGAGATTTCAAAGATTGCAAATATCTGGTATTGGTGAATGTATAGGTAAACGGACATGTGATGGAACAGGATGAACATCTGAAATCTGAAATCCTAAATGCTTCAAAATCCCAAACTTTTTGAGTGCCCACGTGGTGATCAAAGGAAATGCTCACTGGAGCATTTAAATTTTAGAGTTTCTGATTTGGTATGCTCAGTTAATATAATTTACATGTTCCAAAATATCAATAAATGTGAAATCCAAAACACCTTTAGTCCCAAGCATTTCAGATAAGGGATATTAACAGGGTAGTGGTATAAATTGGAATAACCTTTTTAAGGGACCTTTTAACAATTTTTTTATTGAATTGAAAGATACTGTAACAATTCTAAGAAAATAGTCACTGTGCATTAAAGAGCTACATACAGATATTCATGGCAGCATTTTTTGTCGTAAACTGTATATAATATGAACTGCATAATGTAAACATTATAACTGAAATGTCCATCAGCAGGTAAATGATTAAATGAATTAATGGCATATCCATACAGTTAAATGGAATGAAATAGATCCATATGTGCAGACCCAGAAATTTTTGCATGATTTAGTAATTATGAAAAGGTATAGAGGACAGGTGTGCTAGCTTTTGCTTATAATCCCAGCATACTTGAAGGCCAAGGCAGAAAGATTGCTTGAGGCCAGGACTTTGACACCAGCCTAGGCAACATGGTGAGATCCTGTTTCCACACATACAAATTGAAAAATTAGCCAGGCTCTCAGATCACAGCATGATGACCAAAAACTAACAAACAAAAGCCAGGCATGGTGTTGCATGCCTGTGGTACCATCTATTCAGGAGGCTGAGGTGGGAAGATGGTTTGAGCCCAGGAGTTCAAGGCCGTAGTCAGCTATACCACTGCACTGTAGCCTGGGTGACAGAGTAAGACCCTGTCTCAGAAAAGAAAAAACATTATAGAACATTAAATACAGCATGACACCATTTATGGTTAAAAAAGAAAAAGACAAGACATTATATATAGTTCTTGTCTTTTAAAGTTTAAAAAATTAGATGAAAATATGCTCAATATAGATTCTTTTCTATTTTTGAATGACATCATCACAGAATGCCTTGTAAGGCAATTAAGAATTTTCCTTTCAAAGCTGATGGAAGAAAATAAAAATTGGTCTGTGAAAAGATTTAAGATTTCAAAGACTGGATTTTTTTGTTTGTATTATTCGAAGACATTTAACATTTATAAAAATGTTTTATAATCTTTAATTTGGACATGACATAATTTAAACTTCAAATAATTTTAAAGCCTTTAATAAGATCCCTCTAATGGTAGGGACTTCACAATGCAGTCCCTAGTGGAAAGAAACTTGGCTTTTGCTTTGGGCCCACCTGCTTGTGGCAGTGAATAGTATCTTGTGAGAAGAACTACTTGCAGTAGTACCTGACCTCAAACTTCCAAAATGTGAGCAAGCTTGACTTCTAGCCTGCTCCTAATCACCTCTGCTAATGGAGGCCACAGGGGTAGAGAGAGGATCCAAAATAAATGATAGTCACTGAATCATATATATTTGGTTTTGAAGTTCATTTAAAATATTGCCTTGCAGCAAATTTTCTTCCCTACTGTTAAAATGAATGTGTATCCATTAGTAGTTTCCAGCTGCATGACATCGTAGTATTCATGGGAGTGAATTTATTGCCTATGTTCCAAATAGATAATATACTTGAAAGGATTAAAAATTCATGATGCTGTCAATAAAAATGCTTTCTTCCTGCATTAGTGGCATATTCTGAATCACTTAGTAAACAGACTGAGAAAAAGCCTCTGAATTGCAGAGTCTGTAGAAGGTTCAGGAGAGTATCAAATTTTAAGTAGAATCTATCTTACCTATGCTGTTGGAATCGCATGCTGACTGGAAGTGTGGAAAAGAAATTTACAAGCAAGATCGTTTTTTTTTTTGGTGGGGGGGGGAGACGTGGTTTGAGACACAGTCTTGCTCTGTCCTCTAGGCTAGAGTGCAGTAGCACCATCACGGCTCACTGCAGCCATCGCCTCTGGAGTTCAAGTGATACTCCCACCACAGCCTCCCAAGTATCTGGGATTACAGGCACGCACCACCACACCTGGCTAGTTTTCGTATTTTTAGTAGAGGTGGGGTTTTGTCATGTTTGCCAGGCTGGTCTCAAACTCCTGACCTCAAGCGATGTGCCCGCCTTGGCCTCCCAAAGTGGTGGGATTACAGGCGTGAGCCACCACTCCTGGCCCAAGGACATGTTTAATATATGTATATTTTTTGCAGAGTTAATATTGTTGGCCTTATTTTCATTTTTCTAAAGCAGCTTGTAAGATTGAAGGAAAATAAAAAGAGCCAATGGCTAGGCATCAAAGCTTAGTCGAGAAGATAATATCTGATGTATTTAGGTAGAAATTGGATCACGCATGTACTGAGCTTTGCTCTGAGATCTGGCCTTGAGAAAGAGGATTTAAAAATAAATCTAAAATCTTTTTTCCTTGATTATGAAATTTACATATGCTCATTCCTTTATTCAGCAGATATTTATTTAGAGCCCCCATGTACCAGATTCTGTTCTATGTCTAGCAGATATTTTGGTGATTAAA